CTTGCTCTTTGCGTACGGCCTTCTCGAAGCCATGCCTGACAACACCTAACCACAGTGTCTACACTTCTTTGCACTCTAACTGCAATTGCCCGAAAAGAAAGTCCAGCTTCCTGAAGTCCCACTATACGGCCCCTATCAAACTCAGTTGACGAAATCGTACAGGTCTCCGTACTCTAGGCATCGTAACCGATCGTAAAGGATGTCAAGAAACAAAATCCGCCAACGTTGATTCTTTACTGCGGCTGAAATATTCATTTTTAGAGCGTTAGTGAATTAAAAAAAAGCAGTATAAAAACCGGAAGGTCCAACTGATAAGGCTGAAATTTTTTTCACTTGTTATTTACAGTAAGATAAATACATTCACCAACTTTTATTAAAATAAAACCATTTAAACTGGGTGTTCGGATTTATATGTCACTTAGTATAATTGATTATTAAACTGCTATTGCCAACATTTCTCATATTTTTTTACTAAAACAATGCCATCTAGTACAAAAACACAAAAGTGATTATTTGTAGCAAATTGAAGGTAAATATATAAACTAAATGAAATTCGAAAAATTGCGTATTTCGAAAAAAAAAACAGTTGCGTATACTATTTTTATTTGGAAAAATAATGTCACTTATCTCACCTGTATCTCCGCCAACTGTGTATAATTTCATTTAAGTTGCTTACATTGGTTACGACTATGTAGCTCACGGTTTATTCCAAAATTGTCAACGTAGCTCAACACACTGAAAAGGTTGGCGATCACTGGTTTATAGTATCCTCAATGTGAAAACCTAAGAACTTTACGCATTCCTCTGTTGGCAATACTGCTTCTTCAACTTTCAAGGTGATCGGAGTTATATTTCTTTGTATTTTGTGGAACCTTAATACTATGGTCTCTTCGGGGCCTACATACAGTAAATGTTTTGAGAACCTCTTATGCAAGGTAACATACAAATTATTACAGCTACTTGCTAAGGTTTTGTCACACATATCTGACATATCTTGTCACCTTAAATGTCCAAAAGTATAGTCTGCAGAATTTGCATATTTTATCTAAACAAGAAAAACAAATAAGAAGAGAGTCATGCACTTATCAAATGTCCCTTTGATATTCTGTGAAGTTGACTTACATCATATATCTTTCAAATCTGATTTGATCCTATTTTAAAGTTTTTAAGCTTCAGCACCTGATATTTCTTATATATCCAAGGAAGGAGTTTATGAGTGCTTTAGTTATCACGCTACGTTCCTCAGCTGCAAAATATTACGCTAAAACTTAATTTGACACTATTTTGCATGCAATATCTACCTCTGTATAAGCAGCCGTTCAAGTTTTGAGTTGAAGTGACATAAGACAACGCTTGAAGCAATCGATAAATACTATCACACGGTGTCGGCAAAAGGTGTCAAAGGTAATCCACTATAGCTACTAATACCTCTCGTGCAGACACAGGGAGAAAATAATGAAATTAGCCAACGGAACTCGCAACTCAGGTGCTTCTGCCCCAGACTCTCTGATTCACTTACACCTCGTCACGGAATCGCAGCAGTATAATTGTTTTATCGGCTGTGATATCGGCCATCCCCCGTTATAGCCACTCCGCTATAACATCCGGTGATTTTTGCCATTACGATCGGGATGTTACGAATTTACGGACCTGGGAGTAGCAGGTGGAATTGAAAGCATCTACGTATCAACTATCTTCCAGGAAGATGAGTACATTTATTGTTTTCATAGCTTTGGTTATTGTCTAAGTAGTCTAATCATATTAGCAAATGTCCCCGAACTAATTGTGAAGTGTTGTTTTATTGATGCAAGTTGTTCAAGGGGGTATTTAAAACATGGACGCACAAATAAATTTTTGTGGGAAAACATAGTGTACCCACGCGTTTTTTGGGATTCAATCGAAAGCATTGACAGGAATGAAAAAAATTTTCATACAGGATGACTAGGTATTTATGAGACCTACAAAATGAGACCACACGTAAAAAGATCCGACTAACAGCAAAAATGTTATGTCTGAAAAACTAGGCAAAATGCAGGTTTTGGCACTTGTTGGTAATGCCACGATAATTGATGCAACTACTTGAAATTCTCCAAATCCGTAGGATTCATACTTCGAAATAACACCAACAAAATTGGATTATATTGGTCAAGTAGTTTCTTGAGAATTTCTAATTGTTTATCCCATAACATCTGTCTTCCGGCATCACTACTAGTTTATTGAGCAATATACAGAGTTCGTTCTAAGAGCGTTTAATAGCAATATACAGGGTGGCGCATCGAAAACGAAACAGACGCATTTACTGGCAGCTCAGTTTTTTTTTGGAAAAATGCTCAGACCCGTCGATTTTGTTTTCGAGTGAACACAAGTTTGGCAAAAAATCACGTTAACACGTGGAGTCCCTGGGCGGGGGTGACACCAACCCTAACATCTTAAATGGAAAGGGGCGTCGAGTGATACCTTATTTTAAAGGTCTTTCAATTCCCTTTATAATGATGAAAAATATATGAGCTTCAGTTTAGTAGTTTTGAGGATTTATTGATTTAAAGCTTAAAGTAGACTTTAATAGGTACATCAGATTAGTTTGCACTACTTCCAGAAGAAATTTGATTAAAAGAATTTACTTAATAAGTAAGTGCTTTTCTTCACCATGCCTATGGTTTGTTTATCATTTTGTTGTTGAAAATAGCTATTGGAGCGTTTTTTGTGGCAAAACAGTTATTTCTTGAGGAAAGATAAGGAAATATCTCGTACTTATTTTAAATAGGAATTTAGTACATAGCTTGCGATTGATTTGACCAAACTTTGTTGCTAAAATAACTTGTAACTCTTTGATTTTTCGCCAAACTTGTGTCCCCCTCGAAAACAAAATCGACGTATCTGAGCGTTTTTCCAAAAAAAAAACTGAGCTGCCAGTAAATGCGTCTGTTTCGTTTTCGATGCATCACCCTGTATACGTATTTACCTTGCCGGTAAGAATCACGAACCATTCCGGAAGATGAAAGTTATTTTTATGCAAAAAACGAAGGTTACGTTTTCTTCTTCTAAACAAATTCAAACATTTCGTTATATTATTATAAAGCAAAGCGGATGTGTCTATGATCCTTTGTTGGGAATTACTCACAAATACGAAATGTTTGAATTTGTTTACAGGAAAAAACGTAACCCATCCTGTTTTGCATAAAAATAACATTTATCTTCCGGAATGGTGTATTTTGCTATAAAATGCCCTTTGAACTATCCGTGTATATTGCTCAATAAACTAGTAGTGGTGGCCGGAAAACAGGTGTTTTGAGATAAACAATTAGAAATTCTCAAAAACTACTTGACCAATCTGCTCCAATTTCGTTGTGTTTATCTAGAAGTACGAGTCCTACGAATCTGAACAATTTCAAATATCTGGGAGAAATCGTCGTCGCATTACCAACAAGTGCCAAAACCTGCAGTTTGCCTCGGTATACGGCCATAACTTTTTTGCTATTAGTCGGATCTTTTTACGTGTGGTCTCATTTTGTAGGCTTGATAAATACGTGAAAATCTTATATAGAGAGCTTTTTCGTTTCTCCCAGCACTTTCGATTGAATCCCAAAAAAAAAACAGGTTTTTTAATTCTTTGTTGTCGAATAAAAGTTTTTTAACAAAAATTGGTGTACCCATTTTATGCGCCCATGTTTTGAATACCTCCTTGAACAACTTGCAGCAATAAAACGAGACTTTACAATTATTTCGCAAACCGCAGGTATTTTTGTCTAATATGATTAGACTGAATATTTTGTCATTTGAGAAAATAAAGGAATAAGTATCAATAATTCATGGAAAGGAAGATATTTGACATCAAGGAGTAGCTTAATTGTTAAGATCAGTAATGGTATACCTTCATGCTTCTAAAACTTCTTAAGTCCTTTCTCAAAGGAGGAAAAGTTCGAATCGAAATTAACAATGTACTGTTAACAACACGGCCATAAGGGTCGGTCTTCCTCAGGGTTCGGTCCTTGGGCCAATCGTTTGTTCTTTGTTTATTCACGACGACCCTAACCCCAGCAACTATGAATTATCTCCACGCTGATGACACTGCATTAGTGGCCCAATCTTGTTCTGGTAACCTGGTCTATGACTGGCTGCGATGTGCTGTGGAAGAAGTGTTAGAGTTGGCAGATCGGTGGCTGATGAATATAAACCATTTGTAAGCGCATACCATTTATTGTACCAAAAAACGCCACAGCGCCCCGTTAGAGATCACTGTGAATAAGACTCTGATACCGTGGGAAAATTTTGTGCCATACGTTGACAATGGTTGGTTATCGAGATTGTAAAACAATCTACATGGAGAGGCTTTTTTCAGTTCTACTAGCCTCAGGCAGTAAAAATCGGATTGACAAGGTTTCTATAAGCTCCTCATAGCAGCCGCGGTGCTCTGGAATTTAGGCTTTTGCCTACGCGGCTACTCCGGCTTGCAAAAAAAATAAATTGTTCCGGTGGGTAATAATTTTATAATTAATCTTCAGAGAATAGGTAATTACCTCTTTGATGATGCAGAATTGAAAATGGTATGTAAACACAATTAAATTTTACCGTTTTGCATTTACGGTCCCTCCGTCTCTCCTAATATCTCAATGCCCGCTGTACTAGAACGTTTAGCGAAGCGAAAAGTGATTACAGCGGCAAAAAGCTGCGCTTAATTTTTGCGATTCAGTGGATTCAAGATCGTTGGAATTACGTAATAAAAAAGGAAGAAAGAGCAAATCAGCCTATCAGACCAAGCAGCATGCTAAGTACGAAAATGCGCGAAATAACGACTGAAAAAGATGTGAGTGTGTTCTTTCCCGATAATCCGCGTACAGTGATGTAAGCAAAGCGAAAATATGCCGTTGTTGTTGCAAGTGGGCCTCTTTTGGAGTGCACACATCCCCTAGCTCGTAAAGGTAACCCTTGTGGTTCACAACATATTTGAATTTTGTAAATTCTCATAATAAATACTAGCAGCGGCAACACTGCGGTGAGCCTAAGTGTACGGCCAGACTGAATTGCGGGCGGGCGTGAAGCGGGCGATAAGCGAGCGAGCGATTTTTTGCAAGGCGATTTTTTGGCCATACTGAAAATAGAAAATTGCAGATTAATTGTGTTCTGTCGCCAGTAAACATGGCGCCCTTATCAAAACTAAAAAGAAATATTTTAATAGACAGTAACCCCTATATGAAGTGGAAATTATTTTTGGAGAAGTCTCGTAGATATGGAATACATCCTATTAATAAAAGGAGAAAAAGATTTGGAGAATTTCACCACCTATACGTCGAATTAAGAGAATACCCGGAAAAATTCTTTGAATACTTAAGAATGTCCATAAGCACATATGCTTTTTTATTAAGTAAGGTTAATAGGAGGCTTACGAAAATTACGACAAACTATCGATCTCCTATATCAGCAGAAGAAAGACTGGTAGTAACATTAAGGTAAGAATATATTCTTTTTATATATAGTAATGCTAGTTATAGAAATAGAAGTTTTTATTTAATTTTATTATAACAGGCTAATTAACCAAATTTTCTAACAAAAACTACATTATATAATATTATACGTTAGCGTTATATCCACGAAGTTCTAGAACCCCATCTTTTACCCTATCTTGACACCCTGGCAGATCCAACTTTCCAACAAGATAATGCCCGACCACATGTTGCAAAAGTCACAATAGACTTCTTTCAACATAATGATGTCACATTGTTACCATGGCCACCAAGATCTCCCGACTTATCCCCAATTGAGCACGTGTGGGATATGATGGGTAGGAGATTGCTCAATTTGCAACGTCCTCCTCAGACTCTAGAAGCACTTCGAGAGGAGTTGGTGGTTGCCTGGAATGAGATACCACAGGAGGACATTGACCACCTGATCAGAAGCATGCCTAGGCGCGTTGGAGAATGCCTAGCACATCAGGGTGCATCCACACATTATTAAAGGTCAAAGGGCTTCAAAGCAGTGCAATCATTTTGAAATTTTTATCATTTACTTATTATGCTTCACTAAGTACTTATACAAAATTTTATTAAAATAAAACTATTTAAACTGGGTGTTCGGATTTATATGTCACTTAGTATAGAATAACACATCTGTTTATTTACAAATGTGTTTAAATACCTAATTTGCCAGAATCCTATAGCACTTACGACAGCGTTTCTCAACCTTTCACCATTCGCGACCCAATTTTCGATAATTATTTTCAACCCTTCTCACACAATAACACTGTGTGTATACAATGATAATGTACCTTGAGTATTTTGACGCTAAACTTATCGAGAATAAGAAAATTTATAGGGTGTTCCCTAATGATGTGCGAATATTTAAGGGTATGAATCTACATAAAAAATTAATGTTAGTTTGCTTTATAAACTGTGGCCCAAAAATCTTTCCTCACAAAAACTCGGGGTGTTTTAGGAAAAAAATGGAAATTAATTAATATTTTCAGAACCGCTTCAGATATTCCATTACTATTCGATACATAGTGAAAGTTAATAAAGTTGCATATCTTTCAATGCAAAAATAATTTTTAGCTTTAATAGTGACGTGCGTACAGATATTGACTTCGATAATTTTCAGGAAAAAAATGGTAAGCTAATGGGTTTTTGCCAAATAAAAATCATTTTTGAATTTCTTGTTCAATTTAAAACAAACAATCTCTCTTGAATTGTTTCCCTTTGATGCGCCATTTTTGAGTAAAAAAATAAAAACCGTTCTATTGTCTAACTTGCAAAATTATTATTGATTTAATTGGAAAAATTAAACACATTAGAGGTAATGAGCAACAACAACTGACAACATAAACATAATATTAAAACCAATGAAATGATTACAAAAATTGTTGAAAATGTCCTCCTTCACTTAGTATGCATGTAGATATTTGGCAAAAATATTTTCTTGCCGATGACAAATTAATACTTAGTTATGTGCGGGTTAGGAATCCGTTTCAAATTATTCCCGAAGGGCCCTCAACTGCCGTAGAAGAAATCTTCATAGACTTGACGGCAAACGCGGAAATCAAAAAACAATTTAATGATAAAGCCGTCTTTGAATTTTGGGCAGGCGCGAACAGTTAGTTTTTGGTCTGAAAACCGGAGCATTTCGTATGCTACTACTATCTTCAAGATCCTACCTACCTACCAAAACAGGATTTTTTGGCGTTAGCGGCTTTGAAGACCAAATATAGATCGCAGCTAAATACAGGGTGGCGCATCGAAAACGAAACAGACCCATTTACTGGCAGCTCAATTTTTGTTTTTGAAAGATGCGCAGACCCGTCGATTTTGTTTTCGAGGGGGACACAAGTTTGGGAAAAAATCACGGTAGCACGTGCAGCTCCCTAACCTTAAATGGAATGGGGGTCGAGTGATACCTTATATTAAAGCTCTTTCAATTCCCTTTATTATGACATAAAATTAATGTACTTCAGTTCAGTAGTTTTGAAGATTTATTGATTTAAAGCTTAAATAAAAATAATACATCATCATTAGTGGAGATCAATACATTTGGCAGCAAAGTAATTTAAAAATGAAGAATGAACTGACCCGTTAGGCAAGTGAATATTGAAAATGGCCACCATGACTCTCCATGCAATAATAAAGATTTTGCTCAAAACATTGCCGCACGTCTTGAAATGTTTGAGGAGTAATTTGACGGCACTCATTCACAATTCTTTGTCGCAGGTCTTCTAATGATGTTGGCTGAGTAGCATAGATTTTGCTTTTTAAATGACTCCACATAAAGAAATCCAAAGGTGATAAATCTGGCGATCTTGGGGGTCATTCAATAGCACCTCTTCTACCAATCCATCGATCTGGAAACGTCTGATCTAGTTATTGTCTAAGACGTAATGCGTAATGTGGTAGGGCACCATCCTGTTGGAACATCAACCTATTCGCAATGTACCGCCTATCATTCTGATTTTCAATTATGGCTATTAATGCAGGATCTATAGCGTCTTCCAGTAGTTCCAAATACATTTCACCGGTCAAATTTCCAGGTAATAAAAAAGGACCAACTAAATCTACATAAGTTTTTTACATCCTTACTACAAAGTCAGTCATGCTGCTTTTTGCAGACAATCAACACCTATTTTATCCCAGGTTGACAATCTAAATGCAGTTTTTCCGATAGTTTGCTCAAGTTTCTTAGGATATAATCAATACTAGATTGTTCGCATGTAGGTATAATATTTGCACGATTTTTCATCCATTTTTTGGGTATATGAATTTGTTGGTTAATTTCTTGTCAAACTCGTAGTAATTTTTTTATTTGCCAAAATGCACAAAAGGCATCTAGAAAGTCGGCTCCTGACTTGATTGCAATACCTGTATTCGTAATTGGATGAATTCTGAACTGAAGCGACAACGTTGCTTTTTAAAACAACCCAGTACTAAAAAAAAAGCGAAATACTGGTGAAGGTTGAAATATATGTGTTCTATAACATTAAAATGCGAAAATTCCATAGATTTGAAACTTGAGTTGATTTCAATACCCCACTGAAGGACCCTGAGCTTTTTGCAATATCATTTCAGGTTGCACTCATAAACTCAACTGAGTCTCCCAATCACGATACCTCTAATATAATTAGCTGCAAGTGAAAGTATATATCGCCTCCAGCCAATCCGAATCCAGCAACTCCGGTCAAGGAGAATGCAGCTGCAAATGCACCAAAGGTCGCTCGAACTCCCATCTTGCAACTCCATCTACAAGCGAACTCCCGAACTCCCAAACTTCAAACTAATGGAAGTCGATCGGAACTTTTCGTACAACTCCGCTGATATATTGATCGAGCAATGCAGACCGAATGCAGCTGGAGGCCTACTATGTCCTACCCCATCTTTCCAAGCATGACCGGGATTTAAGAAATTAGCAGTGAAAATCGAAAGGTTTGGTTGAAATGCTGTGATGTTGGCCTTGTGATTGTTTTGAAGCACGCTACGCAAAAGGTAATGGTTATCTGTTAGTATCTGTTTGTTGTGCTTCATGTTTCGGTACGAGTTGTTGTTTTTATTGATATTAAATTAGCCTTTCTTTATCTCACGTGTATTGATTGAGGGAATCGAAATAATAGTGACATCTGAGCCAATTCTATGTACGACTATATGAAAATAATTTTAGAACCGGTTTAGAGCGTATACGAATACTGTACCTGTGAAAGTGTAATCTATTTTTTCTAACTTGTGTTACGCGCTTTCTCTTTCACGTGTTTTTCAAGAATAAGAGAGTCATCCGTAGTGTCTCAATCGAACCTTCTGAATATTAATGTTGTTAACTGCAGATTGTTGCTGTGAGTGTTATCAACATGTATTGAGTTTTGAGATACCATATGGCGTAATGAAAATTAGTTTTTATTGCTATTTTTATATTAGTGGTAATTGAAGCTTGAGTCTAGTCCTGTGTCTAACAAAAGCGTTGTTATATATTTCTAAACTGAGCAATGTTACTTGAGGAACGTAAGGAAATAAAAAATCTCAAAGCATTTGGTATAGACTTATGGTAGCTCAATTACTGTCATGAAAAGAGTTGACTAGTTCTATCGATAATAGATTAATCTCACTAAATCCACCGTAGTTGTTTTTTGTTTCAGTCTGAATACCGAATCTCAATACGATGTTCATTATAAGCAAGTGTGGTTAGTAGTGCTTTAGTCCAATCATATTAGACGAAAATACCCCTGGTTAGCGAAATAATTGTAAAGTCTGGTTTTATTGCTGCAAGTTGTTCAAGGGGGTATTCAAAACAGGGACGCATAAAATGGGAACACCAATTATTATGGGAAAACTTTTTATTCGACAACAAAGAATGAGAAAGCGTATTATTTTGGGATTCAATCTAGTGTTGGCAGGAACGGGATAAGTCTGTGTATAAGATTTTTCGGTATTTATGAGACCTACAAAATGCGACCACACGTAAAAATATCAGACTAGTAGCAAAAAAGTTATGGCCGAAAATCGAGGCAAACTGCAGGTTTTGGCACTTGTTGGTAATGCGACGATGGTTTCTAGCAGATATGTAAAATTCTCCAAATTCGTAGGATACGTACTTCTAAATAGCCACAACAAAATTGGAGTAGATCGGTCAAGTAGTTTTTGAGAATTCATAAAGTTTCTAATTATCCCAAAACACCTGTTTTCCGGCCATCACTACTAGTTATACAGGGTGTCCCGAAAAAAGTGTGCAATATTCTACCAGTGGTTTCTAGAGCTTAAAATAGGAAGAAAAGTTTATATAAACATAGGTCGACAAACGTCCCCTAAGGGCGCTACGGTCTTTTAAAGAGGCTACCCTGAAGATGGTTTTTCCTTAATATTTCCGAAACGTGTTGAGGTAAGGACATAAAATTTGGTATTCTAGCCTAGTTTTTTATGCTGGATTTAAAAATATTAACAGTTTTGTTTGGAAGCGTATGAAACAGGGACGGACTCAGGCTATT